ACTCTCTCTTCTGCCACAACGCCTATATAGCTTAACCGCTGCCTGCCTGTAGCTTTTGAATCTGTTTTCGTCCCTTTGCGCGAAAAAAACCCTACTGTCCCAGGTCTAACCTTATGCCTGTTTCTGCCGTTCATTACTAGATTCTTACCTTAATAAAAGCATTAAGCTTTTATTAAATAACTAGGCCTTATCTGCTTAAGTAACACTTTAAAAGCTTACTTTACTAACATTAGCTTTAAAGCCTAAGCCTACTAACTTCTTTTTACTGTTTTGCACTCTTAAGTGCACTACTGTACACCTGCCGTCTATTATTTTTCTTTTTACAGCTTTGCTTTAGTATTTACTTTGTTAAAGCTGGGGGGGTGTGTCGCACGTGTCTCACGCGATATTATACCCATGTACTGCACTATTCACTCATTAGGCATAGCTCCTCTCTCGTACAGTATATAGTCAGCCCAGAGCTCTATCGAGCTCCTCAGACCTTACAATACACTCGTTCAATCCACCTTGTTTGGATCTCACTACCTTGTCGACTCGCTTCCCATATGACCCCTCCTCAGCTCATGCAAGACTTCATGCTGGAGGCTATAACATGGGCTAGCTGCGTGACGGCCATTTATGCAAACAGGCTCTGAAGAAGGCTCAGCTGGCAATTGGTCATGTAGGGGGAATCAGGGCATACAGCCCACACCAGAGTTCAGACTGGGTATTTTAGGAAGGGTGATTCTATCGGCTACAACGTTAGTTGGCGTTCGATGCAAGGAGATCAGCAAGGACACGATAGCAACTGGCCTAGGATCGCTTTTACGAACACTCATGCAAATTGGTTAGGTTCGTGACGCAGGCAACTGCAGCGCGGTTAACAGATTTCTCTTGAAGCTGGGTCCACTGAGGAGAAGTTGAAGCGTTTTTCTTGCTGAGTGCAGTTATGCTTTAGCTTACTGCAGCGAAATTCAGAAATTCTACAATGTTTCATGATAATTGGTGATGTTGACCCGAAAGAATCGTTGATGAAGTGGTGGGTAGAATAGAGGTTGGTGACGATCTAGACTATTAGTCTGGCAAGTACGGCTTGTCGATATAGCAAATATTACACTATAATGTGGAGAAGTTATTGGAAATCATTCCGCATGTATGAAGGCAATTTCATGAGTGGAGCCAGGCATATCCGAGAGCGATCCTGTAACGTAGTTTACAAGCGAGTCTGTTGCGGAGGTTGTTGGAAGCTATAAAGAACTGTATTGATTCTATAAGAGTTGGTAGAGTAGGTGGTATTTATACCTGCTCCTCTGATAGTTCTCGGAACTCAAGTCTCTCCGAGCTTACTATGTACTTGACTCGTGGAGTAGCAGCTGACCTCAACATGACTCTCGAGCCGTCACATAGAGAGCAGATGGCAGGAGAGCACTAAGTGCAGAGGAGCCAGTGAAGCTCTTCCCACTCACTCTTTAGTTCTACAGGCTAAAAAATACTTGTATCATTGCAAATATATGTATTATATTGATAATAGATTATGCCAAATTGAACTCAACAATACTTTCCGAGTTCTAGAAGCATAGCAAATGCCGCGCGATTTTGCCGGTAATCTTCGGCGCTAGTATCTCGATACGTTTCGAAGATATCCCATGGAGTCATCCCTTCGGCATCTTTATCATTAGCAGATATGCCACGAAGTGGAAATGATGATACTACATTGAATACCTCCGCGTTACAATATCGAGCTGCGATATGAAGAATGTTTGCACCGTCATCGAGTGGTCTTACCCTGGCTCCCCTTGCGAGCAACAATCCGATAATCCTAGGTTTGCAACGGAGGATTGCCATAACCAGTGGGGTCTCTTCTTTAGACTTTGTTTTCGCTTCAATGTCTGCCCCGCGATCGAGCAGAAGCTCCGTGTTTTGCAAAGCCCCACTGAATGCCGCTCTGTGTAATGGATGATAGCCAGATGCATTGAGAGATTCGATATCTGCGCCGCTGTCCAGCAAAGTCGTGACAATATCTGTTGTTTTATCGCCCTTTAATGACCAATGGAGCGGAGACTCGTAGTTCCTAGTGTCTTTTATGTTTGGATTAGCTCCCTTCTCAAGGAGTACTCTAACGCAAGTCGCACACCCTCTTAAACCATTCCAAGTGGCCCAGCTAAGTGCGCATCGTCCTGTGTAGTCCCTTGATGTTACAGAAGCATCATACTCTAGCAGCTTTTTAACTTTCTCGCAATCTCCTTTGGCGGCCGCCCACATAAGTGGTGTCTTCCCTTGACTATCGATCTGGTCAATGTTGGATGTGTTTTCATCTAGAATGGATTCCAGAGTTGCGGGTTTAAGTCCAGTCGCTATCATATGGAGGTCTGTGAAGCCCATGTTGTCGAAGACATCTTCGACCTCGAAAATACGCCTAAGCCTCGAGATATTCTTTAGTTCAAGCTCATTAGAAGAGTCCACTGTTAAGATTCTGGACCACGCAAACTCAGTTGGCGATCTATTGGGATCTGATTAATACACATACGTATCTGGTCGGGGGAAAGTAGATTACATACAAACCTCTCTTATTCTTCATTAGAGGGTCCGCATTATTCGCCATTAGAAATTCGCAGAGCTCGATGTGCCAATGATTGATAGACCACTATAATATAGTTAAACACATCAAAGTCTGATAAAAATAGATGATATGTCTATTCAGTGGGACAGATGCCCTCAAGCGGAAGAAGACTTACTGATAGTATTGAAGAACCGTCATCCTGTCTAACCATGAAGGGTGATGCCTGACGTCTATGGAAGAGGGAAAGGACTTCTCGTTCACTTTCTGATAGTGTGCTCTGTGAGCTACCCCAAACTGGGTGATGTTCGGAAATTATCTGTGGCATCCGGATTGTCCAAGAGCCTCCGATGCCGGCAACGTCTTTCCATGTGTTTGAGAATGTGAAAGCTAGATTCAAAAGCCTCCCAGGAAAATAATATGTAAAATGAGACGACGCAGTCCCACTTTCCTTGCAGGGCCGGTAATTGCAAGGTCTTGTCGCAAACATAGGTGTACCTCGGTAACTTCCAAACATGATCCCAGTCACACTGATCAGCCATCTCGGAGTTCGGACTTGCGTGTGTATGTGACATTGGCATTGACAAAACGGCCCACAAGATTTCGCAGGAATAGAAGCTGTGATACGTACAGCGCTGGATGGAGAGTTGGTACCACGAAATCTTGCTCGCCGATGACCGTCAGCGAGGTAATGCGGATCCGGGCTTGTATTTGGTGCATGAGTGGTACCATCATTATCGGTATACTCCTGTTGTCTTTGTTCAATATTGGATGGACTGCTTGAAAGAAAACCCTCCAAAGCGCGTTGGAGCGACATCGCTTGGGGGTGATCCATCCTGACTAAGCTCTGATCAGGTTCACCTCGCGTGACAATAGCAATTTCCTTAAGATGTAAATACACCTTCCCTCTGCGACAAAAAGTTAGATTGTTAAACTGACTTGTGGTTTACTTGCAACTTACTGGAGAATAAAGAGAGAGCCGACGAGCGCAGCGCTAAGGCATTCACGGCGGTCCCGCAAAAGTTCTTGAAATCTTTTCAATTTCTGAGAATTTAGTAGCCAACGTATCTTGGCTACTTTGGGTTGCCCATGCCTATCATATCCTGAAGCCGATAGAAGTTCATATTGTACGAGCTCGTCTAGCTCAAGCACTTGCGTCTTGCACCTATCTAGCAACTGTTTTATGCCATGGACAGATCCTAGAAGAGACGCGTCATCGACTTCCGACAGTGTCGTTAAAGCGGTTTGTGCTGTTCCGAGTACGACTCTTATATCGCTAATCTATACGTTATCAGCTGCATCGTTCTTATTTTGTATAAACGGGCAACGGTGTGACGCCAAAAGAAATCCTCACCTCATTTATTACGCACTCAAGTTCTTCTGGAGCACGGCGCAAAGACCGGAGTCTCTCGAGCCCTTTGGCAGTTTTCTCGGCTGCACCTAGAATTGCTAGGATACCCGCCGCGATTGATAGAGGATCTGCCATCGAAATCACTCTGAAGTATGATTGACTCGGGAATATGGTTACCAATTTAAGCAGAAATGGATTTACAGAGTATTCTAAGATACGAAGCCTATTTTGGCGTCTGTCGATAGTTCCCAAAGTCGAGGGAGGCAATATACTGGAGTCTGGCTTGGTAACGAGAAAACCTTACCGGTCAACCTTACCGGTCAACCTTACCGGTCAGCCTTATCGGTCAGCTTCACTAGGCTTAGGCATAGTTAGAACAACTTAACCACTATAGTAGAAACTTCGTAGCGCGATGCACGCAGCAGGTTACCTACACAGGCTGCTGCAAAACAAAAACCGTTTTACCGCAGGCCATGGGTTCGCTAGTGTCGCACGTGTCTCACGCGATATCATACCCATGTACTGCACTATTCACTCGACCATTGGCATTGAGATATCGAGCTAAAAGTTTATATAGAAAAATATCGGGCTTTGTTTAAAAGACGGGAACTGAGAGACCTCTACGAAAGAATTTGGTACCCGCCTCCGTCTGCACACTCCACCTGCGTCTGGACTGCACGATTCGACCTGCAGGAAGACCGGAGCTGCGGCGACTGAGGGGGTTGCAAGATAAGTACCGGTACCTAACCCTAAACCCCCCCCCCCTACCTCTCTCCCCCCCCTCTCTCCTAGAGAACCGGGGATAAGTACTAGAGGACAAGACAACTGCGCGGGACCTAGGGGAGTCATAAATTAATAGAATTAGAGGTAGAGGACATATGTTAGGGGCAGTAATTAACCTAAACACACGTTAGAACGCGCAAGGCAACTAAAGCAAAGAATATAAGAAGATAATAAAGAAACTTAAGTAATAAAAGTAGAATAGATAAGGTAATTAATGTTAACTAAAAAGCCCTTAAAGCTTTATAATTAACTTACACTTAAAGCTAACTAAAAATAAAACATAACAAAGAAATAAGTATACTTAAAAGAAGTGTAGAAGTAAAAGAGAAAAAAGACCTATTAGCTATAGTGCTTATAGCACTTAAAAAGACCTAAAATAAGATAGTAGCTAAAATAAAGTAGATAGAAAAAGAACATATAACCTAAATTAAGACAATAATAAAAGCACTTACCTAAAAAGTAAAGGCACTAAAGGCAGAGAATAAAGTAATAGTAGACAAATTTAAGACCCTTCTAGCTAGATCTTATACGCTGCCTAGTAGATTGCTATCTTACGCTGCTATAGCATAATTGCCTCTAAGCAGCTAGCCTAGTAACTTATAGACCCTTTTTACTAACACAGCACTTTTAACAATAGTAGACACACTCTACTGCATAATTAACACATCTAGGATTAAAAAAGTAAATAAAAAGAAAGTAAAACTAAGTAAGATTAGATAAGCTATTAAAAAAATGTAAATAAACTATAAGTGTGTAGAATAGTAATGTGCAGCAGTAGTTAAAGACTTAAGAAACACTAATTAAATTAAAGTTATATGTAGAGATAAAAGTAAGCTCTAGGTAGTTAAAAAGGCAGCCTGTAAAATAGCAGCTAAGGGAGTTAGAATTCTGCGCAACTAGCTCTTCCTAATTAGAGTAGATAACACTAACTAGCTAGTAGTGCTATTAGAGAAAAAATAAATCTAACTAGAAGCCTTAAAGGCTCTTAGGGCTAAAAATAAGGTGTAGGTAGTAAAAGTTAGCTAGCTAAGTAAAAAGAATTTAGAAAAGGCATATAAATTAATAGTAGTGTATATTACTAAGGGCAGTAATGTAGCCTAGCTGCTATAAGAACAGTACTTCTACATTAATAGAGAATGTGCATACATAAGACTGTTTAAACTGCAAAATAGACTATTATAGTGCTACTAATGCTAACAGCTAGGGCATAAGGCATTTACTTGCACAAGGCAGCAGGTTTGTGCTAGGTGTACTAGAAAAGAACACTACTATAGCAAATGCTAAGTAATAGTCTTTAAATGCGTACCTTATAAAGGCTTTTATAAATCTTTCTCTAGAAACTGTTAAGTACTATACCCTAGTTAAAATGCCTAGAACGCTTAAAATATTCTAACTTAATATAAAAAAAAACATAAAGTACTACATAGTGTAATAAATAATAAGTAACTATAAAACTTTACTATATTAGCTATTTAAGAACTTATGTGTAAAAAAATAAAGAAGAGAGGATTATTATAACACTAGCTAAACACGCCTACTAGGCTAAATTTACGCTAACTGCATGTAGAGACAGAAGGTAGCTCTTTTAGAGTATGCTTTAGATACAGAAAGACATTAAAGCTAAACAGCTGCTAGTACAGTTGTTAGACCTTATAGTAGCAACGCTTTAACTACTTAGTTAAAGAGTTCTAGTAGTGTTAGTCTATGTTAAAATAAGAGATAAATAAGCACTAAAAAAAAAAATTATATCTAAACCTTAATCTAAACTATATATAACTAAACTAGAACGTAGGTAGACGTAGTTCTAGTAAGTAATTTTAACTAATATAACTAACTATAAAAAGAGAATAATATGTTAAACACTTACTAAAGTAAATTAAACCTTATTATACACCTTATAGTAGACTATTTACTTTATAGCTTACTTTCTAAGGGCACAAAAACATAGAAGTAAGAAATAAGTAAAAGCACTATTAATTTAATGCTAACTTTAGACAACCTAGTAGCTACAGCACTATACTATAAAATTTATAAAACAGAATATAAGTTAGATTACAAAGTAATTAAAATAACTTTTAATATAAACACCTTAGAATAGTAAGTAAAAGTAAAACAATTATTTAAAAATCTACTATAAAAAGTAATATAAATAAAAGTTAAAGAGATACTTAAAGCTAAACTAATAGAAAGCAGTGTATAGTAACAAACAAATAGGCTAATAAGAGTAGTAATAAAGGCAGTCTACAAGCTAACCCTAAGAGCTAGGCTTTTACTATATGTAAAAAAATAGTAGACTATAGACCTTATATAGTTATAAAGAGTATATATGCACTAAAAAAATAAGGAAAAAGCAGAACAGTAGGTAAAAAGAATAAGTATAAAGATAAAACAATAAGTAAAAGTAGTAGTAAAGGAATTTTACAACACAACACAGCAGCAGCGCAGAACCTACTAGAAGAACTTTTTAGTAAATAATGCTAACATTTAGAAAACTATAAGATACTTTAAGCTAAATAATGCTATAACATTTAATAAAATCCTCTTTTTAAAAAAAAACTAATAAATTAAGCATAAAAGAAAATCTAAAGATAGTAGATAAGTTGCTATAGTTAT